GTCAAGATTGGACCTAAGACAGTTGATTGTGTGTTCATTGGTTATGCACAAAATAGTAGTGCATATAGGTTCCTTGTGCAATATTCGAATGTACCTGATATTCATCCGAACACGATTATGGAGTCTAGGAATGCACAATTCTTTGAGAATATATTTCCTTGTAAGTCTCCTAAACAATTAACTCCTATTAAACGGACAATGGAATATTCTGCTTCTGACAGCAGTAAAGATCCAGTTGAAGAAGGTGAGGATGAGCCTAGACGGAGCAAAAGGACCAAAACTTCTATGACGTTTGGCCCTGATGTTCTCACATATTTGATGGAGAATGATCCTCAAAGCTATAAAGAAGCTATATCTTCTCCAGATGGTCATTTGTGGAAAGAAACCATCAAAAGTGAAATCGATTCCATTCTACAGAATCATACTTGAGAGTTAGTAGATCTTCCACCGGGTTGTAAGCCTTTGGGCTACAAGTGGATCTTCAAGAAGAAGATGAAAGCGGACGGCTCCATTGATAAATATAAAGCTCAGCTAGTAATCAAAAGTTATAAGCAAAAGGAAAGCTTAGATTACTTTGATACTTATTCTCCTGTGTCGAGAATAACTTCTATCCGGATGATAATTGCTATTGCGACCTTACGAAATCTGGAAATACATCAGATGGATGTAAAAATAGCTTTCCTAAATGGAGATTTGAATGAAGAAATCTACATGGAGCAACCAGAGGGGTTTACAGCTCTAGGTCAAGAAAGAAAAGTTTGTAGACTGGTTAAATCGCTGTATGGTTTGAAGCAAACACCGACGCAATGCCATGAGAAGTTTGATAATGCTATGCTTTCTAGTGGTTTTAGAATCAACGAGTGCGACAAGTGTGTATATGTCAAGGACACTAATGATAGATATGTCATACTATGTCTATAACGTCGACGACATGCTCATTGTCAGTAGCTCTGACAAGATTATCAAAGCCACTAAGAATATGTTAAACTCGAAGTTTGACATGAAAGATATGGGTCTCGCGGATGTCATTTTGGGAGTAAAAATTACTCGAACACCAAATGGACTTGTGTTATCTCCATCACATTACATTGATAAGATACTAGACAAGTTCAACAAGTCAAATACCACTGTGGCCAGGACTCCAGTGGATTTGAGTCTCCACTTATCCAAGAACACTAGTGATGGTGTCTCACAGTTAGAATATTCTCGAATAATTGAAAGTTTAATGTATTTAATGACTTGTACGAGACCTGATATAGCATACTTAGTTAGCAGATTGAGTCGCTACACAAGTAACCCAGGTGCTGTCTACTGGAAAGCCATTTTTAGGGTGCTACATTATTTAAGGCACACTTGTGATTTTGAACTGCACTATTCTAGATATCCTACAGTAATCGAAGGGTATGCTGATGCAAATTGAATATCAGATATGTCAGATACCAAGTCTACTAGTGGATATGTCTCACTCTTGGTGGTGCAACTATATCTTGGAAATCGTCCAAAAAAACTTGCATCGCAAGATCTACAATGAAATTAGAGTTCATCGCTTTAGACAAAGCAACCGAAGAAGCAGAGTAGCTTCGCCAGTTTGTTGAGGATATTCCAAGATGGTCAAAGCCTGTGCCTGCAATTTGTGTTTATTGTGATAATCAATCAACAATTGGCAGGGCACAGAGCAATATGTATAATGGTAAGTCTCGCCATATTCGAAGACAACACAATACCATTTGACAACTACTCTCACAATGTATTATCACTCTGGACTACGTGAAGTCAAAAGATAATATTGCGGATCCGCTAACCAAGGGGCTAACTCGAGAGCTAGTTGTAAAAGCATCGAGGGGAATGAGCTTGCAGCCTATGACGTTGAAAGGTATCATGGTGGAAACCCAACCTAGCTGAATGGAGATCCCAAGATTTAGGTTCAAAAGGATAACTAAAACATGTATATCTGTGTAAATCAATGAGAATATTCTCCTTCTGCTCATTCATATGGTGCTCACAGTGATTGGAAGATGCAGGTTAAACTATGCTTCTAATGACCATTAAGCGTTGTTGTGAAAAATTGAGTTAAGAGGTCACCTATGTGATTGTGAAGTGGGGCCGCTTCTATAAGGATTGGCAAGGCTACATCCTTGAAAAAACACTTGCAGAACCAGGCGACGGGTTCATGGCCAAAATGAACACAACAGTAAGAACTATGCTATGACTAGAATGGTCCTGTGTGAGATCTTCTGTCTTGGTTTACACAAATGGTGAAACAGTTCAAGGCATCAGATCCACTGGTTTGCTAGTAATTCCCGATAGGTTTTACAAGGGAATGTTCAAAGCTAAATACTACCTATCCTATGCAAGATTGATTCGTTTTACTCTCTCTTTCCTCTTGAGTCTTAGTTTCCATTTTTCATTCATGTGGGAGATTGTTAGAATTGAATGAAAAATATTGAATAGAAATAATGAAAAATATTGTATAGAAATCTCTTCATATATTGTAATTCAAGTAACTCAAGTCCCTTCATGTTTTAACTCCTTTATCAATGAATGGTTTAACTCCTTGATTAATGAGCTAGCTTTTCCTCCATTGGTATAAATAGGAGTCTCTCTAGGTTAAAAAATCACAAATGAAATGCAAACTTCTTCCTCTAAGCAACAATCTTCTTTTTCTCACTTTCAAGTTTTTCCTTGTGCTTATAATTTATTTGTAAGATAGAGTATATCATAGCTAGTTCGCAGTCGGTTAACGTAGTGCAGCGTAAACCGACAACCGATTGTATCTTAGGAATCGAACACCGATCAAAACCTCTTGCACTCCGGTGAGGCGGCGAATTCGATTTAAGGAAACTGTGAATACACATGCCTTCGATTTGATTTGATTCTCTAATATTTACCTACAAATCCAATCCATTATTGCATATGACAAACGTTCATCATTCGCAGCAAGGTATTCCATCTATTCAAAAGCTTGACACATAGCATCATACCTCAATTGTAAGGCCCAAAGCCAAGAAATTATTCCAATTTGGGCAGTACTTCGTAAATGTAAAATTACAAAACAAATAAAAAAGTACATTTGGTGCGATTGTGTTTGACGGTGTCAAACCAATGTGCGAATGCTGTAGTGTGAATTTTTTTAGTCGGTTTATTGATTTCATCACTTTGTCCACACTTTTCATCATTTATATAAACAAAACTGATGTTCTTTAAAGAAACTGAATAAACACGAAGGTGTTCTTTGCAAAGGCTATTTTTGGTACTCAAAACTTCCAATATTTGCAAGTCGAGTTGCGTGTAAACATGGGACCAGATTTCTTCATAAACTAATAAACCCAATAGCAATATCACACACCTTCGTGTTGTTGGGCCGATTCGAAGCTTCACTCTTCTTCAATCGAAGCTGCTCACTTTCTTCTGGTCGGAGCTGGAGAATAGAGATGGATGAATGAAGCGAAAAAAGCTTGAGAGTTGGAGAAAGCCGAGGCAAAAAGGCGAAGCTTCTATCCGAAATCTCCAAACAAATTGGTCTTCTTCGAGGGCTATACTCAATATTGTCTCCGTCGGAACTCACTGGGTTTGTTGAACTGTCGACGGTAGGAAAGATTGGGGGAGAAAGAGAACAATGTTTTCAATTTGGGGCTTTTGTGTTTTTGCCAGGCAAGCTAAATCAACTAGGTAGCATCAGTTTCATTTTCCCTCCTTTTTCCCCCTCTTTTTCTACTGCCACGTCAGCTCCCTCTTTTTCTTGCTTTTTTCACTACCAACTCAGCCATTTTAAAATCATGCCACCAATATTGTCACTGAGCCTGACCATTTAGAATTATTCATATATCCTATATGAAATTCTAAGGGGTAGGAGACATTATGGATGCCTTAAGGAAAAAGAAATTGGATGTTAAAATGACAACTATTCCAAACATGAGGTGTTCAAGCATGATGTGGTTTTTTATGATTAAAATCTGATTTTATACCAATCCTTGGAGGGTTTATATGTAACTTAGGGGGTAATATACCACATATATGAAGCCTTAAAGGATTTGTAGGCATCGCTAATGCTTAAGAGTGAAGGAATTGATCATTACAAAGACAAATCAATAGGCATGATGTGTACTAAGCATGAGATGTTCCTTGTAGCAAAAATCTAACATAACACCTATTCTTGCATATACAAATCAAATATCCTTAGCTTATTTTAACGTGTTTACAACCATTTTACTTGCCCTAAGATCCCAAAATATTTTATAGAACTAATTCCTTAATCGTTCATTTAATTACTTACCCGTTCGAAACCCAACTCTCAACCAATTTCAACAATTCACCTCAATATTTATAATGTCACACAAAATCTATATTATTGCATCGTGATCATGTCACTCCAAGCATCATATCCCAAATATGTCAATTATCTATCTAGGGTTTAGGGTAACTTTAACCAATTGAATAGAAAACTTGAAACTCTGTCGAAACTAATTCCGGACTTTTCAAGATTCTCATTGCTTTAACAAATCAATCTCCAACATCTAGATTAACCTAATTTTCTATCATATCTCAATGTAAAATTCTCCACCTAGGTTGAGAAGTCTAAAATTAACACCATATAAAGATCTTAAAATCTCAATAATCGAATGCACCGTTTTAAGATAAAATAATTAGGAAGATTTATGCAAATGACATTGTAAATAGCATGAAATGCATGAATTATATTGACCAAATATGTGATGTGAAGTTCGAGGTATTACAAGTTTACTGTTCTTAAATTTATTAGTTTAATTTGTTCAAAGACATTTTATTTAATTTGTTAGGTGATTATAATTTTTTAAAAGACACAATTTTTACGTTTAAATTTATGGATATTTCATTTAGTTTATTTAAAGAAATAATTTTTTATTGTTTCACACTTTACATAAAGAAAAGTAAGTTTTTGATAAAACTCTAAATTTAATGAAAAACTGGGGTGTTACAGCTTAAACTTATTTATCTGCCTTGTTATGCTTTGAAAAGCAAAAGAAAGATAATCGGACCACTTTTTATTCTTCTGGTAATGCAAAAATACAAAGTGACATAACACCCAAGTTATGTAATGAAGAAAGAAATGAACAAAACAGTAACAGAGCAAGGAAGCACAAAAGTCTCAAACTTATTTAAATACAAAGGAAATCATTCAACAACGGTATTAAAGAAGAAAAAAGAAGTTAAAATCCCGTATATTATGTTGGTCATTACTATTCACTATTGTGTTCTAAACATGCACTTAAGAGTAGTTTGGTAGGTGCAACTTGACTAGACACTACAGTCGACAAGATTTTAACTTCTTCTTTTTTTTCTTCCTTAATTATTATTTTCGAGTACTTTTGTGTCCAACCTTAGGGGTTCCTTTGAAACCAAACTGTGGAACAAGACTGGCCATCACCCAATCTTCTTACCCTAAGAAGCAAATGCACAACAATCCCACTAAGAAATCCAAGTGCTGCACTTGAGCCAACAAGTGAAACGGCCGTACAAATAAGCATAACAAAGGATTCTTCCTTAGAATTCATGTCCCTTGAACACATAGCCAACTCAATCCCAGCAAACAAAAGAAGAACCCCTAAAACCCCAACTGGAAATTGATCCAAAATCTTCACCAAAGAACTGCCTAAAACGAATCCCAAAGCCAATTTTGAGAGACCAAGAAAGTGCCACACACCCACCACTCCTCCCACCAAATTTGTACTGGCCCGCTAGCCCTCCGGCGCCATGGCAGCACGGCATTGCGCCGAACCAGCACCCGATCAAGTTCATTAGCCCGACTGTCATCGACACGGATGTTGCTGAAACATCCTTATCTGGGAAAAGATCTGTTGAAAGTTTGCATACAGCAACAACTGAATTTAGGATTGACAAAGGAAGTTGTGGAATAGTCCCTTTCACAAATCCTTCCTTCCATGAATGCTTAGATATCTTCACAATTTCAATACTAGATGGCCCAAATTTGAATCCTTTAACAGCTTTAGGCCCTCTGATTACAGCCAAAACTACACCCAACAAGAATATGATAAAAGCTGAAGGAAGAGAAAATATGATTTTCCTCAAATTCTTCCTTCTCTGGGGCCTGTTTGGATCATCATTTTCAAAATCAACTTCTCTGTTCTCATTTTCATCGCCAGAACCATTAACAATTATGATAAAACAGGCACAAATTAGAGCCAAAAGCAGTCCATCTAATCCCATCCAGTGCCTCTTCCCAGCGGATTTCGATTTAGCAAAATTTTGTTCATTTCTTATATACTTAACTGCAGTCATAGAAAATGACAGCCCTTGTGCCAACTGAATTCCCCTGACTACAGATAATGGAATCAGTTTATACACAAGCTGCATCAAACCTGTAATACCCAGAAGGAATAGGATTCCGGCGGTGCAAATTCCGGCCGCCATTACTTCCGGTATGCCAAAACTTGGATTAGATATGGCAAATGCGGCAATTGACTTCATGGGCTGGACAGGCATGGGGACGCCATAGATTGCACCGGTGACGAAATTGTAAACGCCGGTGAAAATCAATGTGGTGCCCAGATCAAGATTCTTGGCGAGAGTTAAAGCTAGAATTATTGGAATGTATGTGCCTAAATCCCCCATGGCGCCATTCAATTCTGCCCATCTTGACTTGAAAACCAAGTTCTGTTTCACCTTTTGTATTACATGAAATGGCCGGAAATGGGAGTTTTCCGGCCGGCTTTGAGAGTTTCCCGGTTGATTTTGGGCGGTTTGGAGATATGGGTCCATTGGCGTCAAAAGTGTGAAGCGATGTTACACGAAGCCACTATAAATACTGGAATACTATTTCCCAGCGTAGTTACAGATAGTCAGATACTATGTAAATTGTAATGATGATGGTAACAATTTTGTAAAAATAGTAGTGCAGGTCCTCAACTTTCACCCGAGTTAAATTTTAGTTCACATTGTTCGGAAAGAAGCATTTCCATCTATAACCATTTAGAGCGTCTTCAAATGCGTTCTATAGATTGCAGTATGAGTGACAAGTTGAAATATTTTAGTTGACATGGTATTGATGTCCAATGAGTAGACAATCAAGTTTTTATCTAAATCAATACTATTGTCTGAATATAAAGATCTACCTTAAAATAAAAATAAATAAAGGAAGAGACAATGCAATGCCCATAGAAATTAAAAAAAAAAAAAAAAAAAAACACCAAACAAAGCTTATGAATTTAGACGGAATTCTAGACAACGTATATTTTTATCAAATCAGCTTGATAGAGTCCACGTCAAATAGTATTAAGAGGATTTTTATACACAATATCTTTTGTTTATATGATAATTTTCTAAAGCAACCAACATTATTATTGAAGATACTCTTAGTTTGTTATAGTTGGGCATCGGGATGGTAATGGGGCAAGACGGCCATGACTATGCTTACCCCGTTGAGGATTTCGGGAGGTTGGACAATGATGGTACAAGAGCAGGGATTAAAAATCGTTATTTGTCGCTCTATGAAATATTTGTTATATATTTATTTTTTCCGTGACAATTAGAGACTTGCATGGAAGTTAATAAAAAAAGAGGTTAAAATTGAAAAGTGCCGTTCTAATTAGTGAAAGGTCGTTGTTATAAAAGAAAGTGTTGTTTTAATTAATGTGGCTAGCATGAAGCATCTCAAAAATAATGTCAACTAGAACTTTGTACTATTCTATCAAGTCTCAACTATCCACTGTGTGATCCATAAAAATTCTTCCATGCATTAGTATTATTCTCTCAACTAGCCACTTTGGGTGATCCACAAAATTTCAAGATTTAAGTCACAAATTTTCATATACATCCTAAAATTCATAGTTTTTCTCCATTTTTTCTCTCTATTTTTAATCATGTAATTTATCACACGATGTTCATAAAATGCGTTATGATGAAAGAAGATGATTTTTTAAACCTAAGTTTATGTCATAATATATTGATTAACGAAGGAAGACTAATTTAAAAAAAAAGGAAAAATTTCAACGTCTCATATATTTTTCAACGATTTAAGTGGATTCAAAATTTATTGTATTTGGCACCATCATCCCAAATGTTAGGTAAAATATGTAGTCCAAAAGTTTATTGGTTATTAAAAAGAAAAATGGAAAATAATTCTAAACAAAAGAAAATTCTTTAATTTCAAACTAAAATTAAGAAAGTATGCGTTAGTCCTTCTACAAATTAGACACGTGAACTACACATACCAATTTAACGAAATTTTAGATAGCAACGATTCAAGGGTCATTGTGCTGCATATTTGTACAATAGTTTGGGATTTACGTGTCAAAATATAAAGATTTTGGATCGATTTGTACATTTTGAAAATGTTAGATATCGGCCACAATTTTTCTAGAAAAATCATTTTTTTTTTTCATTGATAAACGTGTTGGGTTGTGGAATTGGGCGGGGGGTGGAATTGAATTTGTAGCAATCTCTTCGAAAGGGGCATTTGGCCTTTTTCATTTAATGACCTTTGCAGGCTATTTAATATTGTCAATTAAACAGTGTCTGCTAGGAAGTCTATCTGAGGGACTAATTAATTAATAGGGAAAATTGCAGCAGGTCCCTAATCTTTTTATTTTTTACAGACTTTACCCTAACCTTCATTTTATGCCGACGAAACTTCCTAACATTTCATAAATATGCACCTGAGTTCCATTTTGATGAAAACCATCCAAAACACCGTCAGTTGACCGGAAAAATTCCTTGAATTATCTGCTACTACGACGATTTTATTGAATGTTACCTTTTTGGATGAAATTTTTAGACAGTATTTTGGACGGTTTTATTAGATGTTGATTCCATAATTTTCTTGGTTAACTGACGGTGTTTTGGATGGTTTCCATTCATATGGACCTCAAGTGCGTATTCATAAAAGATTAGGAATCTCCGTTGACACAAAATGAAGGTTAGAATAAAATTTATAAAAAAATAAAAAGATTAAGGATCGCTGCTGCAATTTTCCCTTGATTAATAATTAGGGAGGCATTGAATGGAATTTAATTGTACGTGGACTTTGTCTTAAACTATTCAAAATCAAGACCATTTTTTATAATTTCTTAGAATGTAATACTAATTAATTTATATATTTTTATATACATTAATAAAAATATTAAAATAAGAAAGCGTAACGTGAGAGAATAAATTAGAAAGAGAAACGGATGGCATAAACTCAATAGAATATTAGGAATAAACTAAGTGAATTTTATTAAATAAAAAATTAGAGGTAATTCATCCACCATCGAAGATATTGTGTACAAATGGACCATATTGAGAGAATTGAATAAATGCTACTAAAAACAATTTATGTATCTTTTCGATTTTAATAGGGAGGTACCGTGACGGAAGCCCAACTATGTGGTGAAACAAAGTTCCTCGGACTTTCTCTCCGTTTTACTTTCAACGTGAGAATTAGTTGTACAAGAAGATAAATATATAAAATTGATATGCCCGTATGTATACGTGTCATAAAAAGTCAAATATACATGATAACACTTGAATATCTATTTATATAATGATTAGCCATCATCCTTTTGTCTTGATCATGTTGATGATAATGTATTTTGTACATTTATTGAGTTCGTAAAATATGATAGTTGGTAGTAGTTTTAGGGAGTTAAAACTTAATTTCTTGAAAATATTGTTTAAGATAAACTAACAATATTTGTTTAGGTTCCTCGTTCTGAAATCCTTGGAAGAAACACGTCCACCATTCCCTAAGCTTGCGAGAGATAGGACTCACAAATATAATAACCGCAATAATTAGTATAAATATATTTATACATTATACTAATTTACAGGACTATATGGTCTAAATCTCAAACTCACCTCTTGATTTGTAAAAGATTCACAAAATCATCAAATTAGTTATCAAATAATTCAATGTATTAAACTCATAACAAAATCAACACATGAAATATAAATAAACAAGAATCTTTAAATAACAATAATGGAGTAAATCACCGGGTTTTGAATTGAGAAGTAGAGAATTGAATAAATCTTGCACCAAGTTTTTCTTCTCGTTCCAAATCTTAATTTCAAACCATTAAATTGTTCTTTTTCTCTTTTTGGATTTCCTCTCTAATTTTCAAGTTATGTTCTTTCCATTTCAATGTGTGGAAATCCTTTCTGAAGTCCTCAAGTCCTCCATTTATACTCCTCTTCACGTCCTCCCTAAATTTGGAGTCTTCTTGGGCTTTTAATGGGCTAAAATGGTGTAACCCTAAAACAGGTGATGCAATGCCCAAGTGCTTGGAAGCAACGCTTAAGTGCCAAGATAAAATATAGGGTAGCGCCTAAGTGTTGTGAATACAGTGCTTAGATTCTGTCTTTCTATCCAAAACTGTTGTTCTTGCTATTCGTAACATCTGGGCATTTAGTTTTCAGCATCTGTCCTAAAACTCGTCATTGGCTTGTTTGTTCACTTTAGCACCATTTTTACTTAACATCTCCTAACGTTTAAAACAACATTAGCAAACACATCAAAAAAAAACGTTCAATACTCATAAGATCTAGCTATTAATCAAGTTAAAATTGCATATAACTCGTGAGTAAAAGCAAACTCGTCAAATGCTCTCAAACTTAATCTTTTGATAGCCCTTGAGCAAACAAACACAACAAAAAATAAATCACTAAAGGAAAATACACATACAAACAATCTGTCAGATAGCTTATCTTTCCGACTTAGTATTGAGAATATTATATCATATTCATGAATGGTGTCAAAATCATTATGCAAGAGCCAAACTTTCGCTTATTTAATGCAAAATTGGGGGGGGGGGGGGTGTGTGAAGGATCAAGTGTAATGCCGTACATTCATAAGTTAGTTTGCTTTCCAACTCTCAATGGTCAATTCTTTTCTTTCTTCGCTCGTGAGGTTAACAAATCCCCAAACTTGTTTTCTTTCATTCTCTCACCATGGCGTAATTCTAAAGTTTAGTTTCACTTATAAATTCCTCACACCACTCTAATTTGGTTTAGCTCAACCAACAACGTCAATAATTTATTCAAGTGATGATTCTCCCAATTTATGAATGTTCCACTTTATTCACATGTGTGTGTGTGTGTTTGTTTATGTGAAGGATCAAGTGTAATGCCGTACATTCATAAGTTAGTTTGCTTTCCAACTTTCAATGGTCAATTATTTTCTTTGTTCGCTCATGAGGTTGACAAATCTCCAAACTTGTTTTCTTTCATTCTCTCACCATAGCGTAATTCTAAAGTTTAGTTTCACTTATGAATTCCTCACACCACTCTAATTTGGTTTAGCTCAACCAACAACGTCAACAATTTATTCATGTGATGATTCTCCCAATTTATGAATGTTCCGATAATATAATTTATATTAAGTGACTCAAACCCACGACTTATCTAAACCCCCAACAATCAGATCTTTGAGCACTTTCACCATGATTTTTTTTCAACTCATGTTGAGTTCAAATTTGTTCCTCTTCTTGACTTTTCTAGCGAGCTTTGAGTTGGCAACTCCTCGATTTTTTAATACCAAAAGGTATCAAGTTTCAAGATATTCCAACGAATTTACTAACTCGAGTAAAAAGGGCACAGGCGTGAAGTGTGGATTGAATAAATGCACAAAGAGTTAGATCCTTTGCATTCGGTTATTCACCAAGTTCATACTAGAAAGTCACAAGCACTTCGTACAATCTTTTTCACATGCATGGAATCACCACTATCTAAAATGATTTCTTTCACAAGTTAGAACGCTCCAAATTATAATTTATATAGTTAAAGGATATTGTGAATTATGGGTTAAAGGATTAAGTACCTAAGTTATCTATTTAGCTATACATATGAATCTTTAT